ATTGACATTACCATCTTTAAGTATGAACAGAAAGCACAGTAATGCCTTGCCTTCCTTGTGGGTAGAAAGAAGCACGAAAAGTAGTCGTAGTCCCGGACGTGGCGTACCGATAGGGAATATCCGCAACCTGGTCCTTCTCTGACTGTGACACCATCAATGTTGGGTGGAAGTTGCTTGGCGACGCCTAGTTTGAGCCAACTATCATCATCCAACATGCGTTCCCTAGTGAGGGCAGTCGTAGATTCAGTAATGTTGTGGAGTATAACACTACTGTACGTGCAAGAAACTCCACGACAGGGTGTGTTTACCCCACGAGATTTCGATTCAAAACTTAGACCCCATGGCTTCACCACTGGTGATGGGACTGTCCTTATCCCCTCAAGCGACAATGAAGCAACAGAGTTGCATATTTTCCGCTCTATCGCCGGCGTTTTACTTTTTCTGAGTCTTCGTGCTCTCCCGAGGACTTACGGGCAGTTTTAGCCTGCTTCTTCTTTTGGCTGACAGGAGCAGGGGTCATTGCATCTGTATCGTATTGAGCTGAGTCAAACAAGTCGTCGGAACAAGCCTTTTCGCTGCCCGTCGAAATGGTCAACGCATCCAGCTAACGATTTTCGCGCAATGGAAATATCCCCTTCGCACAACTGTCAGACGGCTTTACGAGTGATGACATCTGCATTTGTATCGATGCCCAGACAACTCATTCTCCGGGTTTAGTAGAGGGCTTATGGAATTTCCTGGCTTTCCTTTGGTTCACTTAAATGGGCTCATAAGGATGGACAAGAACACTTTCAGATGTTTCTGCGTCAGTTACCTCGAAATAAACTGGAGCATCTGGTAAGATAGACGGTTACTCGTCCGAGTCACAGACTCCATGACATATATTGTCAGCAGTGGTGCAGTCTGTTGCGGCCGTCCCACTCGCAACCTTCAAGGATTTCAGAATCAAATCTACTTGGGTGTTGAGCGACGCAATCAAGGCGAACTCGTCTAACCTCTTCTCAAAATCCACTAATCTTGATGCCAGCGCTGTAAGTTTAGCACCAGTAAAAGCCGAGTGCTATGATGTCTGAACGCAGTATTATTACAACTGCAAATAAAGTTTTCACTGAATGATAGCATTTTGTACTGATCCGTTTGGAGCCGGTACAACTGGTGTGAAACCAGCGACAGCAAGCGTCATACTGCGTCATCATCATCATCATCCTCAGCAGCAATACTTCAGCAATTTGAACTGATGCTTCGTTGCCATACAATCATAGTGATCTACGGAACGGAGAAAAATAAGAGGGAAAGAAGAGGTACTTACCGGAAAACCGTAATGCGCTAAGCAAACATTCATGGTTATGGCACCTGTACCTTATCAATAACATGCCATCACAAAGTGCTGCCTATCTTGCAAAGATCAGACAGCATAGGCTTCCTTGTGCCTTTCACTGCCTTGCGTCATATTCAACACAAAACACACGTTAAACAGGCAGGCCGACTAAGAGAGGGCAGCAGACGCGCCACTGTTGCCGACTGCGAGCAATGTTCTGTAATGCCCACAGCCAAGCACAAGGCGGGTCACATGGACTCCATCCTGGAATGCAAGTGGGATCGATGGCACCCAATTTGCTCGTCCGTGAGTTCATTGTCCGCTTCCAAGTCGACTTATATCCATCTCGAGCTTTGCGAGATCCTACATCTAGCTGACTAAACAAGGCCCCCCTCGATAAGCCGTGACAAGGCATACGTAGCACGTGCCCAACTTATTCCTTGTTATATGTTGTTCTAAGCAACTAGCATGCTTATCACCGCCTAGTAACCGCCCACGCACATCCTCGTTGCGGACGCGCCGGTGCCACCTGACAAGAACAATGCTCCGTAGACAACGGTGATCAAAGACTTGAAGTCGCCTCAGACCTACAGTAGGACGGTCCACACAGTGGCCTTTGATACACCACCTTTCAAACGGAGGGAAAATCCTTTCTGCTGCCGAAATTTCACAGATTCAAAAAGACAGTTCTGGCTTTTGCGATACATGTACTGACCTCGGTAGCTATAAACCCATCGTGGCTAATGCAGCTGCAAATGTAAGTGCTTCGATTAACTGCCTCAAGTTCCTCGGTATCGAGATTCAAGGGGTCATCAAGTGGTTGGTGGTCATGCACTTTGACGATGCGAAGCGCAAAGCAAATAATTGGACCATTCTAGTGAGGTTACTTAGGGTGAATTGGGTCGTCAAAACAATTTTAAATAGTAAAACAATGTCGTCCGCATAGTCAAGATCAACTAGACTTTCACCAGGCAGGGCGTCGACGACTGCATCGTAAAGAATCCACTCCATGATGGAGTGCACGATGCAATTGAATGAAAATGGGGAAATGCAACAATTCTGACCAACCCCAATTGTTGTCGCAAAGACATCTGAAAAATCACTGTAGATTCTGACGCAGCCTGTATTTTGCGAGTACAGAGTACGTGCAAGTGTATCGAAAAACATGCATCGATCGACCGAGTCAAATGCACTTTTGAAATCGAGGAACACAGCGATTGTAGGTCTGCGGTATGCTTGTCTTTGCTTTGGAACCTGTCGCAGAGTGAATATGTGGTCTAAACAGCCCCGTTTAAGGCTGAAACCTGCCTGCTGTTCCCTAATCCCTGATGCTTGCTCCGCAGTGAGGCAACAAACGAGGATTGAGACAAGCAAATTTCTCACAACTGGCGTTAGATTATCATCCCTGTGGTTAGCACAGGGTGTGCGACTGCCCTACTTTTATACCGCTATTATTGTTAATTCACTCCAGTTAGCTGGGACAGTCTATTCCTTCCAGACATATTCGAACACGGATGCTAGGGCTTTGCAGAGGACGCCACCTCCATCCTTAAGTACTGCAGTTGGCAGGGAATCCGGACCAACAGCAAAAATGATTGAGGCTTTTGATGGTTTTCCGAAGGCCCGCCTCCGACGGAGTGCCTAAGTTAACTGTCCATGGCTCAGCCAGTATCACCTGAGTAAGAAGAGGTCCAGGAGCAGGTGGTCCACTGAAATGATCTTAAATGTGTTCCGCCCAGCTAGCCGTACGATGCTTTTTATTGTGAATCACTACGGAGTCATTTGGCTGAGAAACGTTTTAGACGTTTTATGGGGAGGATGTCCGCTATCTGGATCGATTGCATTAAGGGCGTCTGCGTAGCATTATGCGCATCGGCTGGGGTGACAGCGTTGTGGACCCGGTGATGCTCCGACGCAGTGGACTACATATTTGTCCTGAGGCACCTGAAGTGGCTCGGGTACCTTCTGCGCTTGGATTCAACACGAATATCGAAGCTGCTGCTTTAGGGCCAACTGCGTGCAGAGAAGCGGTAGGTTGGAAAAACAAAGTTACGTTACCAGGATGTGACGAATGTGAGTATATAACGAACTAATGTTGATTTCAGCTATTGGAAGGCGACAGCAGTGGATTGGCGAGGCAGAGGAGAGCATATCAAGAGGGAAGTTGCCCATCTGCATGAGAAATCACTAGTGCATGCGGAAGAAAACGTCGGCTGATGAAACGCAGGGGCCGACAGTGGGTAGCACATCGGCGTCCATAGCATCCTTCTGTAGCGCTTGTGGTCGCGAGAGCCTGAGCCAAGCTGGTTTACCAAGCCACAAGCGTCTCCACATTGGGCCAACATCCTATAGAACAAGAGTATGCTAAATATGTATTGATCAACAGCGCAGCGCTTGGTACCTTCGTTGTTATCAATTAGATTTACTAACCCAATTCAAGAAAAAACTTGATGTGGTACGTGTTCTACGTTATCGCTGCATTTGGCCTGTACTTGCGCCTACATTTCAGGTGTTGTTTGTTGTTTGACATTTCCGGTATGGTTTCGGATGATATGAAAGTTTACAAGGCACTTACTTGATTGCCAACCACTGTCATGTGCACGGGCAATAACCTGCAACGCGGTGGAGGATGGGTCGGGCTATATCGCAGTTAGGTTGCATTTCGTAATGGTCGGCTGTCGTCCCCCATCGCTCCATGGCATAAGCTGCTGGCTCGTTGGTCTTAGCCCCTAGCTGTCATGGGTTCGATTCCCAGTAGGGGGCCGATGGATGAGCACCACTAAAAAGCCTCAATAGGGCGAAACGTGCGTCTGGTGCATTTCCGGATTAGTAGCTTACCTATGCGGTTTGGAATCTAATTTCCACGAATCAACTCGATAGGTACTTAATTGTCTAGCACGCTCCACCTCGTCATATACTTGCTTCAGGGGACTGTGAAACGTTGCTGGATGGGCCGGGGTGCATGGTCCGTGTAAACTTGCTAGGCACAAAGTGTGGTTCCTCGCATTCAGTATGGAATGGACTACGGCCCAGGCACCGCCTTGTATGCGACTGGCATGCATGATTACCCAATTAGACTGTCCGGAAGGTTACTGCTGTGCACCTTGAAGGAGTGTAAGCCGGCTACGTTGATTAAATATGGCTCCCATCCACATGCCTCCTGGTCTTATTCCTTCAAGTATATATACTGTGGGAATGGAGCTGTGGATTATGTACCGTAAGTCATCCATGTTCAATCACCAGGAGCAGGCTTCTTGTGGCTGTCCTATGAGCAGTAGAATTTGTTGCCAACGTTTTTCACTGAACTTGCGTGCTCCAACCTGACCATCCTACGCTATTTTTTAAGCTTAAGCCTTCCACCTGTAACTCATTTGCACACATTAGGGAACCTTGACAAACACATCGGCACAGACAACTCAAAGTGTGTTACAGATACACAAAAGTTAAAATTAGTTACAAAAGTAATCATGTATTAAAAATATTAACAAAATTTGCATTGGAAGTCAAATACAAACAGAGTGTTTCCAAGCGAACTGCAACTACACTCCTCGAGTCAAATACTCTCTGTCCGCCTGTAAAGAGCCAAACGTCGGTAAACGTCCCGTTGCCGCATGTGTCCATACACATTGGGAAACTTAATTATTGATGAACAGCGTTCCAAAAACACCTCATGTATCGTAGACTACCGGGACATCATGAGGGGACCTGTACATGTTTCCTGTTTCAATTCCACTTGTGCAACTCTGTTATCAATCGAAGCTGTGTGTCCAACTTCTACAACAAGGGAGAAAGTAACCATATATGAGAGAACATTCGTCTTGAAGTAGTAATAATTCTTGGTATAACAATTGTAATGGTACATTCTCGGTTGGGCGACGCGTTTGGTCTTTGCACCTAAAGTCTATGCAGCGGCGGACTAGAAATGGACTAATCTCCAGACTTAAGTGATTCTGGACCATGAGAAAAATAAAATAAGACAAAACTGAAGTCACGTGACCCCTCTAAGATGGTGCAACTCGTGTTAACATTAATTTAAGTGACACCATCAGTTAAACACTCACTTGAATGAACAGATTTGCAATGCCGTCGTAATTTACACCTCAGGGAAAAAGATTTGCTGCACTGTTCACATGTGTACGGACGATGTGCTAAATTGGGGAACAGAAAGTGCAGTCACAGATGAACGATGATCAATTAACAATGATTTATCACGGATAAAAAGTATGTGTTTGACAAGTCCCGTAGGTTGTATGGAGTAAAAATTAAAATTGAAAGGATCATCAAATAAGTAAATGGTTATTTCAAGCGTCCACTGAGTTAAATGCACTACTGCATAACGATGGTTTGAAGTGGGAATGGGATGTGCACACGTAAAATAGTTTAGAGTTGTTATCGTTCAGTAAGTGCGTGAGAATTAAAAAAGGAAACAAAAGCTCACCGGTGTTTTCTTCATTTGACAGATGTGGTATGTTAATCCAGTATAGCTACATTCAAGCTAAGCACATGGACAATTCTGCGTGTATCCTCCCTGCCACCTTACGGAGAGGGCAGTTAAGCACATGGTTATGTTTGGGTTGTTTCGTCCTCCAAGTGTAAAAGACTATATCAAGTGATGCTAGTTTGAAAGCGCTTCATCAAGGCGTTTTTTAAAAGTGTTAGTGTTGGGGCAACCATAACGTAAGTCGGAAGGGTCTTCAAGGCACGGGACACACGGAGGGAGAAAACGTTGCGTCGAAAATCAAGTCGACTGTAGTGCGTAGTCAGTTTGAACTGATGGCCCGTAATGTTGGTAGTTTAGCTCTGCTGCAACTGATTGCGACCTGGGCGAGTTGGGTTCGTCAATATTAAGTAAACCAGGATTAGGTCTCCTGGCTGACCTCGATATTCATCACTGTACAATCTCAGGGACTTCAGTCTACGTTGTTAGAAGTGAAGAGACAATCCTCTAACGAGTTTGGTCGCTCTACGTTGTGGATCTTCAAGTGCATCGACGTCACGCTTGCGCTAGGGACGACAAATCTGGAGCGCATATTTTACGTGACGGGGAGACACAGCTACAGAATGAATGATTTGTTTGAATATGAACGCACTAAAGTATTAGCAACGGAAACTAAAGATTTTCGGTGTACGATCATCTTGGAACTGGAAACGCGTCACCACACATAGCTATTCAAGTTAGCAGAGGGTGAGCAACACACATACGGATGGCTAATGGAAAGAGCGTTTGTCGCCTACCTTCATAACTTTGGTTCCAATGGGATACATCCGCAAATATGCATTAGATTGTATTACTGTATTAGTACTCTTTTAAGATCACACTGATGAAAGATACTCAATGGGACCACATGGCTATCCAATGGAAAATAAAACTGTAGCAGACAGACGACTAGGTCCAGCGAGATAAATTGCTACAATTGATCCACTCGCACCTGAACGGTCACACTGTTCATCTGTCCAGTGACTGACCAGAACAAATACATTTTTCCGTGATGAAACAATTCCACTTCCGACTGAGTACACACAACGTGTTGGCCGATTTGTCCTCGCCATCCGGCTTATTGAGCTTTTAGAGCCACAGAATGAATCGGAATGACTAATTCCCCGTGAAACCTGTCCTCTGTGTAACCTAAAATTATGACGTCATTCCTCTTGAGCCTTTCAATTCAACTATGTCTGTTCTCGATCTCAACTATGATTCTGTACCATAACTGGCAACCATGTCTTATGACCACAGTCATAAATGCGGCAGACAGTACAAGAAATAGATTCACTACCATACATGTTTCATTGAGCGTCTATTAATACTGCTAAACCTCTGTCAATGCTAGTCGCTGCTACATGTTCGAGCTGTTTGGACACTGATGTTCCTAACCCAGCAATGAAGTCACACCGTCTGAACATCTCTGTGGATCATCGCTGTCCCCTCGGGGACCACAAGACACCGCAGCCTTGTTGGAACACTGAAATGAGTGGAGATCATGCGTGCAATCTACTCCACCGTCCGCTGCAGAAATGTTTCCCATTGCTCATTTTGTCAGAAAAAGCGCAATGTACTAGGGTGGCGTTACTGTTTATAGGTGTGATGAAAACAATGTTTGTTAGCTTTTTGAACGAATGATGAGTATCTGCTACGGAATTGCACTGGAAGGACATATTGTTATGTGTTTTTGGTGAATTTGTGTACGGCATTGACGGGTACCATCCGTGTTGCGACACTTTAGTTTTCTCTAGTCCGGCACAAAGTTACCGGTGCTCTTTCCGGTGTTTGCTTGGCGGCAACCGATGCGTACGTTGCCGGGTTGTTCAATATTGCTGGTTAACTGTAGCCTATAATGACACAGAGAGGATGAGTCGGTGCGACCAATGTCAACGGCAATTTTCCGGTCGTCCAAATGGGACAGAATTTAGAAGTGCTGTATGTACGACGACTAACCATCTTTCAAGTCGCGCCGTTACGACATCACGGATGTAGAGTAACTGTAGATAGACAGGCATTTTAGACGCGGTATTTTCTCTTGGTTTACACTATGGCTTACACTATGCTGGCCATCCAGATGCAGCTCATCAGTTGACAATTTCCCAACTTAAGCGTTCTGAGCCACGACAAGCACTACAGTGTCCGTGCTTCCTCCGTGACGAAGGAGCTCGTTCAGTTGACGCTTAAACTCGTCCTTTACCTAGTCATCGCTGCAGTTTGTGGGCGCATAGGCTGTGATGACAAACAGACACCTATTAGTCCCGCGCGACTTCGAAGCCCTGAACGAGCCACCTAGTCGGATTGCACACATCCGGCTACTGATTGGCATCTAATCAAACAGAGCAGATTCAGTCCGGTGACTCAGGGTAATACTAACCGGCTTGGCGGGTACTCGAAGCAGCTTCATCTCCGGACAGGCGCAATGAGAAACTGTTGCTAGTGTCACTGAAGGGGATCGTAGAGTGGGAATAGAGCCCGAGTCCTGGAGACGGGTTTCCGATAGGCATCCGATATCAATCGAGGAGATCTCTAAAGTTCGGATAAGTGCTGCCTGTTGACCGACCTCTAGTAATGTGCGTACATAGTCATGCGAATATGAGGGAGAATCGAGGTCTCCAAATGGAAGCTGACGTACTGGGCTTGACCGCTTGATTAGACAATGGCTTGCCGATAGGACAAGAGTGATGCTCCGAGTTTACAGGTGAAGTGAAATTAGACGATTAACGCATCAGAGCATGGTGGGGAATGTCCAAGCACTAGGCGGTTGAACGGCGAAAAAACAAAGTGGGTAGGGGACGATGAGGTAAAAAGCGTTAGCGGAGGAATAAGAAGACGGGAAGGCTCGGGCACTAGCATCCAAACCCCCATCCACCTTGCACGAGGTAGCAGATAGGGCACCGTAGATTATCCTCTGCGGCCGCCAGAGCAGCAGAAAGCTGTTTGAGGAAATTTTCGTAGTATTGCGTTGGCAGGATACTGTCAGGCTGCCCAGGCCTAGACAGGAGAATGCATAACGTTCTTAACCAAAGCCTTTGATCCAAAAATCTGACCGTTAGGAAGTGACTATGACAGTGGACTATAAGGAGTCCGTTTTAATATACAAGGAGCCGCCCTCACTCCAATCCCAAGCAGGAGGGCCAGGAGTCTAAATTTTCTGGCCTCTAACCACTGACCAGTCTGCTATGGGTGACTCTGAAGGTGCGAAAGCCCCACCTAGCGTAGCTCAATGAATCGCTGAGGCAAGCAAATCATCGCACCCTCGCATCATTGCGATGGAATACCTGCCAGCTCGTAACAACGCCCAAAACAATATCTGGTTCCGTACTGCGTGTTCAACCATCCCATTAGTCAAATACCTACTTCTCTTAATTTAAAAGTGCGACCGGTTAGCAGAAGAAGTTTAATAACGAATGAACACAAATAGTATATCACTGGAAGGGAGTCTGTACCAGGACAACATTGGCATCTAGGAGAAGCAATGGTGCAAAATTTGCTTCGCCAAATCCACAATTGACTAGGTCCTCATTGCCATTATGTCTTTCAATTGTGGAAGAAAGCCAGGCGAAAACAGACCGCGAGCTGATAGTCGAACGGTACTCAGTACCTCGAAAAGCAGGCACTACCAGAAACGTGTAATCGATCTAATTCAGTCAATCTTCAAAAATTTTATCATTAACAAGGATCGGACAGCCGATCCCGAGTCTACTACATCTGCAAGTCAGGGGTCTTTGGTCGATTTCAAATCCACCGAGACTCCAGTCACGTATGCAGAGATCGCTGCAAAGTTCCCCCGGGGGTTTTAATTTTAATGTCTTCTCTGTTGCAGATCCCGCTAACGCCAGTAGAGCAACAAACAGTAGACCAACATCACTCGGTCCAAAGCCAGACTTAACGAACGCCTGACCTTTTATCTCAACAAAAACCTCCAATAATAACTATCTGACTATCGTGTGCACAAATGTCCCCGAATCAACTGCTATCACATTTCGGGGTAACTTGTCTGACGACCAAGATCAGTGAAACTTACTGAGCATTTTGATGAATGTAAAAGCCTTACCTACAAACCTGGTGTGAGTTACTCGTCACCCGAACTCTGCACAATATGGCGAACCGAGAATTATTAGAGTAATACTGGAATCTGTCACCGATGTAGCAAACCTTTTACTCTCTGCAAGTGTGCTACAACGCGGGTCTTGTAGGGTGCGCATCTATCTTGAGGTCCATTGGAGCACTTGACAGTCGGAAAGGAACATTACAGAAGGACACAGCACGGTGGATTTTCTAAGCACAATCTTTATTTGTGGCTTGCCAGAACTTCCTTCCTACAATAATCATGAGGCTAGTAATTACTATCTGGAACAATGCTGGTTCATCCGTGAAACACATTCTTTGGATAATGTTGTTGCGCCACTGCTCAAAAGGTTACCTCGAGCATCAAATTATAGAGGAAGCGGGACACGAATCATAAAACTCCTGATTCAGCCAGAGCAAACAACAATGAAAGTGGTAGAACGTTGGCGGAAGCATCCTAAAATCCTTCCATCTGAACTTCGGTTAAAAACTGCTACATCCTTGCGAAGACCAGACATGAGGCTACATAAAAAAGCAATCCTACCAACGATTCCCCAGGAGCAGCACCTTATCACGCGGTCACGCGATTCTGCGTTAGGT